AAATAGCTAAGTCCAAAATTCCAGGAGCGTTAGTGGGGGTAGGGTGTGGGTGGCGCGAGTGGGGAGGGTAGGAGGATTAGAAAGAATATGGAGTATGGGGTGCCAAGTGGGGAAGGGGGGGCAGAAATATTATAGGCAAGTCAGATATCCACTTCCAGGTTATGTGACTCTAGTCACTGCCTACTCCAGGCAGCCCTCCAGCATTCTCAGTGATGAGCTCCCAGCCTTTAAAAACTGGAGTAGGTAATTACATACCTTTCTTTCACCACCCTCACCCCTGCTATATTGAATATTGCATTTAGTTTCTACTGAACACATCTAGGAGGTAGCTGACTTCAAATAAGGTCCATAGCAGAGGTAGTTCACCTTCCCCTCCCCCATCTTTGCAGAGTATTTCAGAAGGACTAAAAAAGCCAGCTGTCCAGAGAAGAAATCTGAGCTCTGAGTTGCTTAGGACGAGGGTTTGTTTCAGTCTAGCAGCTCAGATCCTTGCAGCTGTCTATCCCCCTACCTCCTCCATTTCATTCCCTTAGTTTATACAGCAGTTCCTCTTCCCTCCCTCTCACCAACTCACACACAAAATATAAGCTTCTGAGTTGTTAGAGGAGGAGGCTAGCAGAAGCAAAGAGGTGAAGAAGGAATAGGGATAGAGTTTTTTGAAGGTTACTAATCCACAGGGGACGGGAACTTGGAGAGATAAACTGAGGAAAAAAGAGATTCAGAATGATACTTCTGTGGAGTAACATAACCTTGTGACCTTTTAAGATATTGCAACCAAGGAATTTAGCCATGTCATATTTTTGCAGCCATAGGCATCTGGAAGGCAGCTATGCTCACCACTATACCACCAACGCCGTCTTGCCATAGGCATCTGGGACCATCATCTCTTACACTTGCCAAGCGAAGTGAACACAAAAGCTGACTCCAAACAGTGTCACTAAGGCATTTGATTAATTGGCTTTGCATTTAATTCAGAATCTAGAGGTCAACACAGTACTCTTCTCTTTATTATGCATATATCTTTGAAAAATTTAGATTTCTCTCAACCACATGAGTCCACAGCACAAGGATATAAATGCCAACCAAACTATGCAAGTGACTTTAAAATGCAGTAATTTGACTATGACATGCCAAGTGGGATACACTCTAAGGATAAAAAGAAATGCAAAAGTATCTCCCAGGAGTCATACTGTTGGTGGTAGTGTTGGTATTGCCATTGTGCACCTAGAGTGGGTGTGTTGTGGAGTAAAACAAACACGTATTAATGCTAGTGTCTTTGTGAACCAGGATTTTTGGTGTAAAATAAAGAGATACAGATTTATCATCGATGAAGTTAAATAAGAACTCTGTAATTCTGATTTAAATTGAAAATATAACTGTGAGCTTGAGGCATATTTTATACCAAAACATTTCCTGGCTTTATTCTGAAAAGGCCTAGAAGCAATAACCCAGTAGCAATGACACCACTACATGCAAACTGGGCTTTCTAAGCACCATTTCCCACTGAAAGGAGCTCCTTAGAGAAATAGCTGAGTTCAGGTATGGGTCAGGAATTGTGCAAGATAAGCAAGGAAGCCTTCAAAAACTAGTAGGATTGTATCAAAAGGACTCAGAAGCAACTAGAATAGTTTACACTGGCCAAAGATGAGACAATTTAAGTGTCAAAACGGATACTGTTTGCATATTTGATATGTTCAACTATCATATTTGTATCAAATATGTTTCAATCTATGAGTTTCCAACAATACTTAAAAACAAACTCATTACTGGAGAACGCTAGGGGATCAACTCGTTATTTTGCAAACTGCTAGTAATTGGAAAGAATCAAGCATTTATCCTATTTTTCCTGTGGGAATTTAAGATGAGGAGGAAATTTCTCTTTATAGAAGTTTTCCAGCAGACAAATGAAGAAGAAATGGCATAATTAGAAAGTGAATATTTATAACTCCTAATGAATTCATGTGTCTAGGCAGTGATCAACAATGGCTGTTATCCATCATGACAGGAGAGACTCCTGATCACAGGTGGATTCCAAATTCCACCTACTGAAGCAGGCATGCAAAAAAGCCCTTTCAGTCTGAATCTGATCTAGTGTAGAGCTAACTACTAATTTATAGGAAATACAGGAGACATCAAATGATACCTCAGAGGTGCAAATCCAGATTGTGGGAATACTCTCAAGGACAAAATGACCTGGGCTTTTCAACAAACTGAAGAAGAAGAAAAAGAAGAAAATGGAGAGGGAACTTATGCATTAATAGAGACATCAAACAGTAGCTGAGTATGGATTTTATTGGATTCTAATTCAAGAAAACAAACAAAAATTATGAGACAGTTGGGGAAATTTGAATGCTAATGAACAGTTCATGGATACTTAGTGATTTATAAAGTTGTCAGTGTGATAAGTGGTACTTTTTAAAAAGCAAGCACTTATCTTTTATAGATGCATCTTGAAATATCTGCAGATGAAATGATGTGATAGCTGCAATGTTTATAGGTCAGGAAGAAGTGATAAAAGAAGATTGAAACATGAATTGATAATTGTTCAGATTGGTAGATACTCAGGTATTCATTACCCTAGCCTATTTTTGTAAATGTTTGAAATTTTCCATAACAAAAATTTAAAGTCAGAAATTATCTATGAGCCCTGATATGATATTTTATGTGGAAAACTCAAAAGACTCCACCCCAAAACTGCTAGAACTTATATAGGAATTCAGTAAAGTGGCAGGATATAAAATCAACGCACAGAAATCAGTGGCATTCCTATACACCAACAACAAGACAGAAGAAAGAGAAATTAAGGAGTTAATCCCATTTACAATTGCACCCAAAACCATAAGATACCTAGGAATAAATCTAACCAAAGAGGCAAAGAATCTGTACTCAGAAAACTATACAATACTCATGAAAGAAATTGAGGAAGACACAAAGAAATGGAAAAACGTTCCATGCTCATGGATGGGAAGAACAAATATTGTGAAGATGTCAATGCTACCTACAGCAATCTACACATTCAATGCAATCCCATCAAAATACCATCCACTTTTTTTCAAAGAAATGGAGGAAATAATCCTAAAATTTGTATGGAACCAGAAAAGACCCCGAATAGCCAGAGGAATGTTGAAAAAGAAAAGCAAAGCTGGTGGCATCACAATTGCGGACTTCAAGCTCTATTGCAAAGCTGTCATCATCAAGACAGTATGGTACTGGCACAAAAACAGACACATAGATCAATGGAACAGAATAGAGAGCCCAGAAATGGACCCTCAACTCTATGCTCAACTCATCTTCGACAAAGCAGGAAAGAATGTCCAATGGAACAAAGACAGTCTCTTCAACAAATGGTGTTGGGAAAATTGGACAGCCACATGCAGGAGAATGAAACTGGACCATTTCCTTACACCACACACAAAAATAAACTCAAAATGGCTGAAAGACCTAAATGTGAGACAGGAGTCCATCACAATCCTAAAGGCGAGCACAGGCAACAACCTCTTCAACCTCAGCCGCAGCAACTTCTTCCTAGAAACATCGCCAAAGGCAAGGGAAGCAAGGGCAAAAATGAACTATTGGGACTTCATCAAGATAAAAAGCTTTGGCACAGCAAAAGAAAGTCAACAAAACCAAAAGACAACCGACAGAATGGGAGTAGATATTTGCAAATGACGTATCAGATAAAGGGCTAGTATCCAAAATCTATGAAGAACTTATTAAACTCAACACCCAAAGAACAAATGATCCAATCAAGAAATGGGCAGAAGACATGAATAGACATTTTTCCAAAGAAGATACCAAATGGCCAACAGACACATGAAAAAGTGCTCAACATAGCTCGGCATCAGGGAAATCCAAATCAAAACCTCAGTGAGGGCGCCTGGGTGGCTCAGTTGGTTGAGCGACTGCCTTCGGCTCAGGTCATGATCCTGAAGTCCCTGGATCGACTCCTGCATCAGGCTCCCTGCTCTGCGGGGAGTCTGCTTCTCCCTCTGACCCTCCCCCCTCTCATGTGCTCTCTCTCAAATAAGTAAATAAAATCTTTAAAAAAAAACAAAAAACAAAAAAAAACAAAAAAAACCTCAATGAGATACCACCTCACACCAGTCAGAATGGCTAAAATTAACAAGTCAGGAGACATCAGATGTTGGCGGGGATGCGGAGAAAGGGGAACCCTCCTACACTGTTGGTGGGAATGCAAGCTGGTGCAGCCACCCTGGAAAACAGTATGGAGGTTCCTCAAAAAGTTGAAAATAGAGCTACCCTATGACCCAGCAATTGCACTACTGGGTATTTGCCCCAAAGATACAAATGTAGGGATTCGAAGGGGTACGTGCACCCTGATGTTTATAGCAGCAATGTCCACAATAGCTAAACTGTGGAAAGAGCCAAGATGTCCATCGCCAGATGAATGGATAAAGAAGATATGGTATATATATACGATGGAATATTATGCAGCCATCAAAAGGAATGAGATCTTGCCATTTGCAACGACGTGGATGGAACTGGAGGGTATTATGCTGAGCGAAATACGTCAACCAGATCAAGATGTGTATCATATGACCTCACTGATATGAGGAACTGTTAATCTCAGGAAACAAACTGAGGGTTGCTGTAGTGGTGGGGGGTGGGAGGGATGGGGTGGCTGGGTGATAGATATTGCGGAGGGTATGTGCTATGGTGAGCACTGTGAATTGTGTAAGACTGTTGAATCACAGACCTGTACCTCTGAAACAAATAATACATTATATGTTAAAAAAAAAGAAGAAGAAGAAGAAGATAGCAGGAAGGGAAAAATGAAGGGGGGGAAATCGGATGGGGAGACGAACCATGAGAGACTATGGACTCTGAAAAACAAACTGAGGGTTTTAGAGGGGAGCGGGGTGTAAGCTGGTGATGGGTATTAAAGAGGGCATGTTCTGCATCGAGCACTGGGTGTTATACACAATGAATCATGGAACACTACATTAAAAACTAATGATGTAATGTATGGTGATTAACATAACACAATTTTAAAAAAGAAATTATTAACATAACACAATTTAAAAAAAAGGAAATTATCTATGAGCCCTTTGAGTGTGTGTGTGTGTGTGTGTGTATTTGACCATCATCCTTGTCAAAGCCTATTGGCCAAACACTACCCGGAACAAAGCTGTAGTCAAAAAAGTTGGCTTTAGAGAGAGTGGGAAGTCCGGCTTGCGAGCTGGTACCTTTGTTTCGCACGCGACAAAAGAATGATTTAAAAATGGGTGATGTTGAGAAGAGCAAGAAGATTTTTGTTCAGAAGTGTTCCTAGGGCCATATTGTGGAGAAGGGAGGCAAGAGCAAGACTGGGACAAATCTCCATGGGTTTATTTGGGCGAAAGACAGGTCAGGCCCCTGGATTTTCTTACACAGATGCCAACAAGAACAAAGGCATCACCTGGGGAGAGTAGATACTGATGAGTATTTGGAGAATCCCAAGAAGTACATCCCTGGAGCAAAAATGGTCTCCACTGGCATTAAGAAGACAGGGGAAAGAGCAGACTTGATAACTTATCTCAAAAAAGCGACTAAGGAGTAATAGTTGGCCATTGCCTTATTTATTACAAAACAAAAATGTCTCATGACTTTTTTTTTATGTGTACCACATTTAAATTGATCTCATATACCAGAATTCGGATCATGAATGGCTGATCGAATATTTCTTTTGGACAGTCCTGATTTAAATAAGATTGGCTTGTGGTTAAATGAATATGATCAGCTTTTTGAACTTTGATAGTAAGTCTGGTTCAGCAAGTGCTGCCACTGTTTTCCCCTCCTAAAAATATGATTGGAATTGACTAGTAATGTTCAGCTTTTCACAGAGATGGTAACTGCCATCTCTAAACTTAGGGGAGACTGGTTTTGTATTTAGATTTATATAACTGGTTATATTGATATATTTAAAGACTGAGGAAATCCCTTCACTGTCTCAGAACAGCAAGACTCAGCTGTGTTTCAAGTTGTGTTCATTAGCCTGTTAAAGGCAAGGGTTGAAGATAAGCTCGTAGTGTCCACTTTATCTTTTTGGTCTTAACCATGCCAATTTAATTAAAATTCCCTGCGTTTAAAATGTTGCCTTTTGCTTAATGAAGGCATTTTAGTGTGGTTATGTATAATGTTAAATAAAGAATACTTAACACTTAAAAAAAAGTTGGGTTTATTTGGCTTGCCGCAGCAAGGACAGAATGCCACAGTGGAATTATGTGAGGAGCCTCTTCTAGAATTTGGGCCTGTTGTGGATACTTCTGAACTAGTGTTTAGCATAGTGAGGGCCAATTTTGGATTGAATATTGTCAAGCAGCAGAGACATTTCAATGATTGCGTATCTAATTGGGAGGCAAAGGATTGAATAGGGATTGGAACTGAAACTGGTTAAAACAACAAAAAAGCAGGGCACCTGGGTGGCTCAGTGGGTTAATCGTCTGACTTTGGCTCAGGTCATGATCCCAGGGTCCTGGGATGGAGTCCCGCATCGGACTCCCTGCTCAGTGGGGAGTCTGCTTCTCCCTCTACCTTTCCCCCTACTCATGATCTCTCAAATAAATAAATAAAATCCTTAAAAAAAAAAAAGACAACAGAAAAGCAGCAATAACTCATGTTAGTCAGGAAAAGGGATGTTTGCTCATTTTTGTGGTTGCAGAGCGGTCTTGTCTATATTTTATTCCAAACTCAGCTGTGGTGTGGGCCTGATAAGCTGAGAGAATAATTAGCAACCTTGACTTCTATACTCAGCTTAAGTATTATTCCAGAATTAAAAATAAGAAAAACATTTCAAACAAAACAAGACCACCAATAAATACACATCAAAATAACTGTTAAAAAGATTTACTAGCAAGAATGATTTTGAACAAAGAAGGATGGATTAAGATGGGAGAAGGAATGGTAAACAAAGAAATACATATGTGATTGAATCTAAACAAACGAATACTGTATTTTTAAAAATGACTGCCTCTGGCAGAAAACACAATAATAACACAGAAAACAGGATGGGACTTATAATTAAAGTTGTTTGAGGTTTTCATATTGTTTGGGAGGAATGTGTCAAAATTGATTCACTTTATGCTTTAATTAATATTTAAGTCTGCATTGTAAGGGTAGGCACCAAAATAATAGAAAAAAATAGAGTGTATTATTTCTGAACAAAAAGAGGAAAAAAGGGATTAAGATAATAAAACAAGATAAAAGCTTGATTAATCCAGAAGAAGACTAGAAAGGAGAAAAAAAGAAAATAAAAAGTGTAAATTAAAATACTATAATAATATCACAATCTAAATTTTAAAACCAGGTAATTCTCATTGCTCTATAGACATGACTTTGGAGAAGGGAAGGTTTGGAAGCAGAGTCCCCCACTCAGGACTCTGACTGTGGCCATGAAACAATGAGAAGAGGTCAGTCTTGGGATATATTTTGAAGGTAAAGCCACAGGACTTGCTGATGCTCAGAAACATCTGATTTTTACTAGTTTTGACAATGCCTGATTTTTAAAGTAAATGAGATCATTTCTTTCATGATTCTTTTCCTTATAAGGCCTTAAGCTACTCTGTTCTCTGTAATTCCATGGCCCTTGATAGGAAAAGTTTCCCTACTCTTCTAGAAGATGGTCACTAATTCTTTGTTGCACCACTCAGGATGATTCAGAGCATCGTTCAGGTTGTTTCGATCTTTCCCATCCCATTTACAGACCCATCTCCTTTACCCCTTTGGGGTCACTTATTTAATACTTTTAAATTATTTCGTGATCCTCCAGCGTTACGAGGCTGTGAAGTTGCACCAGGAAAGATAGTGGAACCAGCTGGATAACAGCTACTAATTTGCAAAGTACTTGTAATAGGATGAAAAATCCCACCTGTGGCCAAGAGGTGAGCAGCCTTTGAAAGCATAGATGAGGTTAAATGACAGGAGAAGCACAGCAAGAGGATGTTATGTGGGTTTTAAAATAAAGGAGAAGACTTAGAAATGGGTACAGAGAATTGTCATGAGACACATTAAAACGGATCCACCTAGACAAGGGTACTCATCATAGTAGAAATAGTTTAATTATCGTTGGAACATCTGTTGGTGCTACATGCTCTGCTGAGTGATCTGATGATAGCATTTCTAATCCTTACAACAACCCTGAAAGGCAAATTTTATCCCCATTTTATAGAAGCTGAAGTGCCCAGAGAGACCATCTTGTCCAAGGTTGCCTAATTCAAGTCCGGATTTATCTGCCCCAGAGGTCAATACTCTTTGCATTATAGCACCTTCTGTAGGCTCCCAGGTGACTGAATTTAGATGGAGAAAAGGAAAAAACAAAAGATACGGGTTTAGACAGGATGCGAGAGATAGTAGACCAGAGAAAACAGTTCCTAGATCTTCAAATTAGAGTGCTGGCGAAGAGAATGAGCCCATCACTGAGGGTAAGAAGAGAGATGGCTGACATGCAGCTTTTATATACCTAAGGAGTTAAACAAAATTCTAATATATTTCAACACATTTAAACTACATTACTAAACCCCTAACTTCTACCAGTATGCTGAAAACGTAGAAGATAATCACTGGACAGCCACTTTTATTTCGTGTCAAATGAAAGAAACAAAGAAACAAGATACTTTTTCAAAATTCATTTCAGATAAACTCAGCAATGGTCATTAGGTATTCAGTTGTGGTAAAAGGGCCTACTGGAGAAGTTCACCCATTTAGGAAAAGTTTGCCCTTTTTGGCAGCTTGATATATTTCCTTTTAAGAGGTAGTAAAGGGACGCCTGGGTGGCTCAGTTGGTTAAGCAACTGCCTTCGGCTCAGGTCATGATCCTGGAGTCCCGGGATTGAGTCCCACATTGAGTCCCACATCGAGTCCCACATCGGGCTCCCTGCTCAGCAGGGGGTCTGCTTCTCCCTCTGCCCTCTTCCCTCTCGTGCTGTCTCTCATTCTCTCTCTCTCAAATAAATAAAATCTTAAAAAAAAAAAAAAGAGGTAGTAAAAATTCTATATAACTCATTTTCTCTTTTTAACTGTTTTGAAGTTCAAAGGAAAATATAATGCTCAGTTATAATATTTATATAAGCTTGGGTTTTTGTTATATATTTTGTCTTTTCCATAGCTTTTGAATCTTCTATCTTGATGTTAGTTGTTGTTTGTTATATTTGTTTTGGTTACAGGTGAGGTGTTGCTTACCTTTTTGCACATCTCTTAAACCTCTTGTGGATAAATTAAAGTTAAAATAAAAACAAATCAAATATTTTTGAAAGTGTGAATTTAAATTTAAGTTAAATAAAAAGGCATTCATTTTGCATAGCTTGGAATTTTACCATTTTACTCATTTGTAACTATTACATAAAGACATACTCTTTACTCTGTACCACCTTCACCTACACATTTGGTGTTTTTATCATTTCCTGGAAAGGTGAAGACAGCAGTGCTTGCATTTCCCTGCATTAAGAAGAGAGTTCCAAAAATAAAATGCTTCTATAATCAAAGACTGCTGATGCAGTAAAAGATGGGTTTCTTTTGGTTGAACTTATTAGGGTGTTGGCAGTGTGAGATTATTTGGGATTGAGAGTTTATAAATTGTAGTTCTTACTTTGGAGGATCACAAACTCCTTTTGAAAATCTAATGAGCGATATTAGCCCTGTCCTCAGAAAAATGCTCAAATATGTGCCTTGACATTTTAACTACAATTTCTTGAGGGTATATATACCTCCTGCTAGAGGGCTGGAATAGACATGACTCCTCTTCACTGTGAAAGCCCTGAATCCTGGCCACCAGATCACCAAGGAGGTACCTCTTTACTACGGATAGTGGTGAGAGCAAGGTCGACACTTGAGTAAGGCTCTCAATACCCAGCTCAAAGCAGTAATAGAACCATAGGTAGATTCTGCTCTTCCTGCTCCAAGAGTGTTTCATGATGGCTTTGAAGCAATTCTATTCTGGCCATCAAGTAGTTCTGAAAAATTTTTGGGTTGCTAAAGACTATCCATTACAGTATATGCCCTTACAGATTTAGTTCTGTTTATTTGGTTTATATTAATTTCTATCTTGAGGTCTTATAGAGGGGAAAACTCTCTATTAACTATTTGGATAAGAACTCAATTCTGTCATGTTGCCATTAAATGTTTTTATGCTTTATGTTTCCTTACCTTCAGGTGAAGAATTAGGCACACTATTAAAAAGACATTATTTTTTACAGTGGCCTTGATTATATTTGTGGAGCCAGCCACCAGTGGCTCTTGGCCTCTTGGGAGCTACAGATCTTCTAACATCTGAAAAAAAGGATTATTCTCCTGATTGAGAAGCTGAATGTGAGTAACTGGTATGGGTAGAACAGAGGCAGTGAAAGTAATGAGGGAGAGAGATTAGGGTTCAGGTGTGGTGGAACATAATAAGGTGTGTCATGGGGATCTTTTTATTTTTTAGCCCATCCCCTGCCTACCTCCCCTCCAGCAACCTTCAGTTTTTTCTCTAAAGTTAAGTCTCTTATGGTTTGCCCCTCTCTCCTTTTTTACCCCTTCCCTTATGTTCATCTGTTTTGTTTCTTAAATTCCACATGAGTGAAATTGTATGGTATTTGTCTTTCTCTGACTGATTATTTCACTTAGCATAATACACTGTATCTCCAATCAGTCATTGCAGATGGCAAGATTTAATTCTTTTTGATGACTAATACTCCATTACACACACACACACACAACACCACATCTTCTTTATCCACTCATCAGTCAGTAGTGGACATTTGGGCTCTTTCTATAATTTGGCTATTGTCGATAATGCTGCTATAAGCATCAGGGTGCATGTGCCCCTTTGAATCAGTATTTTTGTATCCTTTGGGTAACTGTCTAGTAGTGCAATTGCTCGGTCATAGGGTAGTTCTATTTTTAACTTTTTGAGGAACCTCCATACTGTTTTCCAAAGTGGCTGCACCAGTTTGCATTTACACCAACAGTGCAAGAGGGGTCCCCTTTCTCTGCATCCTCGCCAACATCTATTGTTTCCTGTGTTATTAATTTTAGCCATTCTGACCGTGTGAGGTGGTATCTCATCGTGATTTTGATTTCTCTTTCCCTGATGATGAGTGATGTTGAGCA